TACGCTGTGATGATGATGCGGATTACGATGATGATGAAATTGATGCTGATGCTGCCGTTGATGATGACCTTTGTGGTAATCATGATTATGTCGATGATGATGATGATGATGATGATAATGATGATGATGGTGGTGGTGATGGTGATGCTGATGATGATGGTGACGATGATGCCGATGACGACGACCATCATCATGTCAACGACGACGATGATGAGGAGTAGGAGGATGATGCTGGTGATGCTAATTCTGATGGTGTTGATGTTGATGATGACGATGATGATGATGATGATGATGATGATGATGATGATGATGATGATGATGATGATGATGATGATGATGATGATGATGATGATGATGATGATGATGATGATGATGATGATGATGATGATGATGATGATGATGATGATGATGATGATGATGATGATGATGCTGCTGATGATGATGATGATGATGATGATGATGATGATGATGGTGGTTGTGGTGGTGGAGGTGATGATGATGGTGGTGGTGATGATGCTGCTGATGACGACGCTGATGGTGATGATGATGATGATGATGATGATGATGATGATGATGATGATGATGATGATGATGATGATGATGATGATGATGATGATGATGATGATGATGATGACGAACCTCGTTTTGGCCGTCTTGGGGCTGTGTGGGCCTCCTGTGGAGTACTCTTGGGGGTCCATTGGGGCACTCTTGGGCCGTCTGGGGGCCCTCTTACGCCGGGTTGGGCTCTCTTGGGCCGTCTTTGGACCCTCTTGGCCGTGTGGGGTGTGTCTGGGGGCCGTTGTGGGGCCATATTTGCGCTGTCTTGGACTGTCGAAGGGCCTTCTAAGACCGTCGTGGGTCACACGGGAGTCCCTCTTGGGCCGTCTCGGGGCAGTCTTGGATGCTTCCTGGGCCATCGTGGAGTCCTCTCGGGCCACCTTGAGCTGACGGCAGCCCGAAAAGGCGAGAATGCGAACAGCATGTGCAAACTCAAGGGAAATCATTGATTTTGGCGTCTTCGGACCCTGTTCGAGGTCCTCCTGTGGCCCTTTTGGGCCCTCTTGGAGGCATCTTGGGCCGTCTTGAATCAATGTTGGGCCGCCTTGGGGCCATCTTGGACCGTCTTCGAGGCATCTTGGGCCATCTTGGTGTCCTTGCTTGCCTGCACGGGCCAGTTTGGAAGCCCGGAACGCATACCCATCGTGTTTAACCAGAGGTCGTGGCTTGAGAGGCCCTGGACAGCCCGTCGGGTGCGCCTGGTATCCTTCGGCCTTGCGGCGCCCCCAGTTGGTCGGACCCCGCGTGAACTACCAAGGCCAGGGCCGTCGACTCGATGCTCCTCTGCGAGCGCGGGGCGTTCGGCCTTTCCGATCGGCCGCTTCGGAGACTCGCCTGGAGAGCGCGGATCGCCCAGGGGGCCAGGCTGGAAGAGGTCCTCCCGCCAGGTATGTCCGCAGAGCGTGCGCGCGAGCTTGATCGGCTCATTCGGATATGCTGGAACGTAGCTTACAGCGGCTGATTGTACGCGGCAGGGCACGGGTTGGGTTTCCAGCCTCCCGTCGTGGCGTGGATTCGGGCTGCCGCCATGGGCCTTGGGGAGTGCTGCGGCGCATACCCTAATGGCATGTCGTTGCAGTCCGAGTCCACTCGCATTCAGTCTGTTTGAGGGAGTGAGTGGGTGGCCTTCTGTATTTGCATGTTTTCATGCCTCGATGCAGTCTGTGCCCCAGCCTCCTGTCGCTTCCTGTCGTGATTTGGATTCGGGCTGCCGACATGGGCCCTGGGGGGTGCCAGGGCGCAGACCCTAAAGGCACGGTGTTGTTTGTGAGTGATATGCCTCCTGTGTGTGTGTGTGTGCAGTCCGAGTCCACTCGCATCGGTGCCTCCTGTATTTGCATGCGTCCTTGCGTGACCTGTCTACACAGTTAAGATGCCCCGAGGGGTGGGCGGCCCTCGGAGGACGGGCTTGGGGCCCTTCGGCTGCCGCGCCCCCCGCCTGGCGCCCCCCTCTTGGGAAGGCCCATTTTGCGGCCTCGGCCCCTCGGCGGGGCCCCTGGCCCTCAGTGGGCTCCTTTGTTTGCTCTTGCGGCCCAGAGATTCGCATTCGCATCCGGCAGACCAGCGCGGCGGACCAGCACGGTTGACCACAGTTTGTCCGTAGCCATTTTGGCCCAAGGCCGTGGGGCACCCGACGACCGCGAGTCGTTCGCGGCGTTTCGAGCGCGAGGGTCTCCGCGCTGTGGGCCAAGTGAAGCATCCTGTGCGCTCTCCTGTCCAGAGGCGTTTCGGCGCCACTCGCACTGCGCGGCAGGTGCCATGCCGCGCTCGACCCCCGGCGGCGGATGGGGTGGCAGCGGGCGCTGGACGCGCAGTGGCTGCCGCTGCTGGAACCAGGGCTGGCGCGGCAGGTGCTCGGGCCGCGGTGCAAGCGCGCCACCGCGGGCCAAGGGGACCGACCAGGCTCGCCGGCCCTCGCCGCCCAAGCCCAAGGCCCACGGAGGATGCCGGGTGGAGCAGCCGCGGGGCCGCCGAATCCGCTGCCAGGCGTGCGGGGCTGCCGGGGCCGCGTCCCAGGTCTCCTGCACCAGCGGCGCCAAGGCCAGCGCCGGGGCAGGCGCGGGGCAGGGCAGCCGTTCGCCATCTAGCGGAGGATCGATCCACAGAGGTCGAGCGGCTCCACGCGTCCGTCGAGCAGCTGGAGGCGCTCCTGGCTGCGCCGCCAGAAGGGGGTCGAAGACTGCTTCACCGACGTGGTGGCCAACCAGCTGGAGGTCAAGCGCGCGGAGCTGGGCGAGGCCCGTCGAGCCGCCGAGGTCAGGTCAGCGGCGCTGCCCAGGGCGGCGCGCTTGTGCAAGGAGGCATGGGCGGCGGGGCGGGCCGAGAGGAGGCTCAGCGCCGCCAGCGAGAGCCTGGAGGAGAAACGCGCGGTGCGCGACGCAGCCGATGCGCGCCTCCAGCAGGCGCGGGAGGAGCTCGCGACCCTCGACGGCGACACGGAGGCGGCCATTCGGAACCTCATGGCCCTGGTCAGCGAGAGCGAGGACCCGGCCGACGAACCGAATGCCAGCGGCTTCTGGGGCCCTCGGCCAGCCCAGGAGCGCGGACAGGCTGAGCGTCGAGGCGATGCGAGGGGGAGCTGGTCCCGCGTCAACGAGGCCAACGCGAAGGAGCTGGCGGCCGAGGCCATGGATGATCACCCTCTGGCAGCTAGCACGCGGCGCGGCGGCGGCAGCAGCGGGGCACGCAGCGCCTCCGCGCCAGGGTCGCCCTCGGCGCAACTCGGGGGCCGCCGACCTCTACGTCGAGGCCGCCAGGCACTGGGGGCATAGAGCTCAGCCTAGCGGCGCCGAGGGGCCCGCCCAGTGCTGGCCTGACGGGAGATGGGAAGCAGGGCGCATCACCGGGCCCGATCTAGGCCGCCAGCGCGGCCTCATCCAGCCGGGGCCGAGGGGGCGCAGCCCGGCAGCTGCGCGCTGCGTCTCGCGAGCAGCAGGCGGCGAGCGCAGCGGGGAGCTCTGCCTCGGCGGCGCCGACTTCGCGGCCAGCTGCGGGGCCCTGTGCAGAGCTGGATGGGCCAGCGCCCAGTGCGACGACAACGCGGACCTGGTGTCCGAGGAGCGCGGCTCGGTCAGACGCGGCGTTTGCCCGCAGCAGACGACCAAGAACGGCGGGGGCGTCGCGGTCTGGGCGTCGGTCAACTCCGCGTCGCGCGCCTCGGCAGGCGAGGCCGCGGCCCGCGGCGGGCGGCCGAGCGCGAGGAGGGCTTCGCCGCCGGCGCGCTCGATGGCCACGCGGGCCCCGGCGTTCGCGAGAAGAACGTCGACTGCAGCTCCACGGTCTCCAGCCGCAGCAGCGGGGAGGCCTGCGCCGCCGTGCCGCGCGGGCCCAGCGGCCGCAGGTGGCGCGGGATCCACGCGGCGAGCGAGTCAAAGACTTTCACCATCCTGGCCCTCGCCGCCCACTGCAGGAGGCGCGCCGCCCCAGGCATGTGGCGCGCCAGGAAGGCCCAGAGGCTCGGCGACGGCTACTTCAGTGGCCTGAGCGAGCTCGAGGTGAAACCGAACGTCATGGATGGCGAGTCCGATGGCCAGCGCAGCGACGGCAGCCAGCGCTGCGGGGCCATCGCGCAGGGCTGCGGGCTAGCGCGCAGGAGCGGCCAGGCCTCGGGACTGTCGCAGAGCATTTAGGCGAAGGGCTACGTGGGATACAAGGGCCTGCCCGCCGCTGGCAGCCCGCCGCTGGCAATCGGCGGCGCGCCCCCCCCCCCCGGGGGCCAGCTGCTGCGCGCGACGGCGATGGGCCTGGCGAGCAGGGGCCGGAGCGGCGCCACCTCGGACGGGCGCGCTTGCCAGCCAAAACCCAATGCGATCTCGGCTTGGGAGCGGTCGCCTTCGGACTCCTCGGCCACGTCCTGTGCCGCGCGATCTGCGGGGGCCGCGACGACGAGCAGGAGCTGATGGCCTGCGCAAAGTGCGGCGCCTAGATGGTCCTGGGAAGGCGCTCGGGCTCTAAGCCCAAGCTCAAGGAGCAGTGCCCGGGGGCCAAGACGGACAAGTCTGGGCGGGGCCAGCTCAGCCTTTGGCGCCGAGACCTGCGCCCAGGGGGGGGGGCCTCGCCAGCGGAAGCAGGGGGTGACCGACGCCCAGCCGCCCAAGCTGCACCACTTCCGCGAAGTGCCCGAGGATGAGCAGGAGCGCCTCATGGCCTGCGTCGGCGAAGAGCCAGAGGCGGCAGGCGCGACCACGGTGAGCGCGGATAGCTCGCAGCCAACCTCCGCAGGCGAGCCAGCTGGAGGACGAGGATGCCTCGGCCAAGCCCACGGCCGCGAGACGGCTGAGGAGCCCAGCGCGCCAGGAGTCGAGCGGCTCCTCGGCGACCGCGAGTTCGGCGCGCCGGCGCGAGAGGCATTGCGTTCGGAGGGGGCTAGCGCCGTGGAGTGCCGCGCGGTGCGCAAGCGGCCAGCTCGCCAGAGCGCGAGGTCCGAGAGCGATAGCGACTAACGTGTGAGAGAGAGAGAGGGAGAGAGAGAGAGAGAGAGAGAGAGAGAGAGAGAGTGATACCCAACGGCTCTCGCTCCCTGCTCCTGTGGCCAGGCTGCTCAGTTGTCTCCTCTCTTTGCGTTTTCACGCATTCTGCGGAATTGAGCACTGTCAGGTGGCAGGTGGCGTGCGGAGCCCGAGGGTGTCTGGTGCCCCAGGACCCCCGTAGGCCCTCTGTGCCTTCTGCGCATAGGCCGTGGCGTCGCGGGATGCGGCAGAGGCCCTTCCGGTAGCTGCGATGGCCCTGTTACGTCAGGGGCCGGCTTCGGCTCGAGTGGCCCTACCCGCCTTAAGGAGCGGGCGACCCTCCGCCGTGCCATGGCCTGGAGTGGCCGCCCCCCTCTTGTTCCTCCCCCTCCCTTGGGGAGCCGTTCCCCCCAGCCTTTTAAGGCCCAGGCACTCGCGTTCGCATTCGCGGCAGATCAGCACGGCCGAACCGCAGACCAACACCGCAAATCAGCACCGCAAACCAGCACGGCACGCAGCACGGCAGACCAGCACGGCAGACTGTCGCAGCGGACCAGCCGTCGTTTTCAGAGCTGTCGACAAGACGTTCTCCATCAGGCTTCGTACACACAGCGGCGCTTCCCTTACTTGTCTGGTCAGTTTTGGGGAAAAGGGCCGTCTCGCTTGAGATATCGTCGAACAATCAGCTGCGGAGTGGTTCCAAATTAACATCGTCTTGGAATCGCTCTTGGAGGGGCCCACCGTTGCTCATAAGAGCCCCAAGAAGGCCCCCCAGAGGACCCAAACAGGCCCCCAAGAGGCCCGCAAGAGAGCCACAGGAGGCCCCCAGAAGGGCCCGAGACAGCCCAAGAAAGCGCCAAGACGGTATGAGAGAGCCTCCACCGAACCCGCAGATACGACTGGACAGTCCAAGAAGACCCCAGTAGCCCCCAAGAGGGCCCCGACAGGCCCCCCGAAAGGCACCCAGGATGCCCCAAGACAGCCCCAGATTGCCCCAATAGCTCCCAGGGTAGCCTCAAAAGATCACGAGGGCCCCCCAGTTTTCGACGTCCCGTCCTCCTTCGTCGTCGTCGTTCTTCTTCTCCTTCTTCACCTCCGCTTCGTTCCTCCTCGTACTCGTCCTCCTTGATCTCTTCCTCCTCGTCCTCGCGCTTGTCCTCCTACTCGTTGTCCTCCCGCTCGCATCGCTGCCCTCCCCGTCATCTACGCCGTCATGCTCGTCATCCGCCGCCTTGTCGTCGCCATCATCCTTACAAGCCCAATGGACAACATCGGCGCGTCCCGGTCTTGTCCGATCAGGTTCCATACAGAGGGCCCGAAGGTGCCTCGGGATACGGTGGCAGATATCATGCTTCGTGTGCGCGAGCCCGTGCGTGCCTCGTGGGCCTCGAGGCTTTCCCCACACCAGGGCCCCCAAAACACAGGAGGAGGAGGAGGAGGAGGAGGAGGAGGAGGAGGAGGAGGAGGAGGAGGAGGAGGAGGAGGAGGAGGAGGAGGAGGAGGAAAGGAGGAGGAGGAAAGGAGGAGGAGGAGAGGAGGAGGAGGAGGAGGAGGAGGAGGAGGAGGAGCTTCCTCCGGGCTCCCCTGGCAATGCTTCCCACTGTGTCCTGGGATGGCTCTCAGACGGTTCCAAAAGAGGCCAGGACGGCCGAAGATGCTCCGATATGGCCTCAGGGTGGCCCCACGTGTCGTGATTACATTTTACACTTGTAGAGGGTGTCGAGCTTCTTTGCGCAAAGTAAAGTGACCGAGGCCGTGCATGCACATATCATATAACTGCTTGCTGGTGGTTGATTCCTCAGAGGGTTGAGCGTCGTGAGGGTGTGTTTCTGCTCTGTAGCCTTTCTGGCTCAAGTCATTTTGGCTGAGCCACCGACCACCGCGGCCTCCAGGGCGTTGGATGCGCGCGGCGGCCCAGGGCGTGGTGCTCTTGGCCTTCCACGTCGGCTCAGCCTGGATCGGGCAGCTCTGGGCGGCCGCTCGCGCGCCGCGCGCCCCGCCCCCGGCGCCGCCCGTGGAGGCGCCGGCGCCCACCCCGCCAGCGCGGGGCTGTCCTGCGGCCGCGGTGCCGCCCACACCCGCGCTGGCCCAGGAGCTGTGCGCGGAGCTGGAGGCGTGCCTGGCACCTGCGCCTCAGGTCAAGTGCCCCGACCTTTGCCCGCCGTGCCCCGAGGCGGCCAAGGTCGACTTCCACTGGGGCGTCGAGGTCTCGTTCGGCCTCGTCACGTTCCTCGCGTGGGAGCTCGCCAGGTTCGGGCTCGGTCGAGCCCAGGCTGCGCTGGGGCGGCTCTGGCCGCGTCGGTGCGCCAGCGCGCTCGCGCTTGAGGACGCCGAGGCAGAGGGCCAGCCCGCCCGCGCGGCCGCGGCCACGGGCGGCAAGCAGGGCGGCCGAGGAGTGGTGGTCTTCGCTCCTGGCGACGACCACTGAGAAGCATGGCGGGGGCAGCTGCCTCTGCCGTGCTGGGCCGCGGGTCGGCCGGGTGGGTGCACTACGGCGCTGGCGAGCACCACGCGAGGCTCGTCGGCTCCCTCGTCGAGAACGACGAGTACGCGGTCGTGTCGCCCGACTTCGACGTCTTCGTGGAGCAGCTGAGCCTCAACAACGGCGACTTGGAGGGGATCCGCTTCTCGGCTTCGGTCGACGTGCGGCCGCGAGGGGCCCCCGCCCCTGGCAACGTGCTCTACACCTTCGCGGCGCTCACGCCCGCCGAGGTCAACGAGCTGCTGGCGGAGGCGGCCCAGGCGTGCAACCTGGAGCGGGCCCACCGTGGGCTCCCGCTGTTGGGCGAGGCGGCCCGAGCGCCAGGAGGCGCCGCCGCGGTGGCGACGCCCGTGCCCGCCGTGGCCCCTGCGCCTGGGGCCCCCCGCCTCGTCCCAGCAGGCGGGGCGTGGGTCCTCGCGGAGCCGCTCGTGGGCCACGGCATCGGCGAGGAGTTCACGCTGCCTGCGGGGGCTGCGGTGCTGGGGACCCGTGCACTTGTGGTGATCGACGGGGGCGTCGCCGCGCTCGAGCAGCTGGCCGAGGGCGCCGACATCGCTCGCTGGGCCCTGGCGCGCAGCAACTTCCTCTGCGACGACCCGAGGATCCTGGCGCGGCCCCCGACGGAGCGGACCCTGGTCGACGCCGTGGGCACGATGACGGCCTGCACGCGGCGGGCGGAGGGCCTCCCTGCCTCTCCTTTGCAGGGGCCCGCCATCGGAGCCGAGTGGGTCGACTCGGTGGTCAGGGATGGCGTGACCAGCCTGATCGACCGCGCCAGCAAGTGGCGGCGTGAGAGCGGCGTCAGGACCCACAGCTCGGCCGCCCACGAGCACGCGATCCCCCACAGGGCCGCGCAGCTCCTGGCGACGGTGGACGGGCTCAACGTGAAGAACCTCGTCGGCGTCGAGCTCCTCCCGAGGCGGATCACCTTGCATGAGGAGGCCGTGGCTGAGAACCCCGAGGCGCCAAGCTACGAGGGGTCGGACCACTGCCCGGGGATCAGCGAGCGCTCGGGAGGGGCCCAGATGGTGCCTTCGCTTCGGGCTCATGTCGCAACCGAGCTCAGCAAAGAGGCAGCGATTCTGAAGGAGAAGCGGAAGGCACGGGAGGCCAGGGCTGCAGGCGTCGCGGTGGCGAATGCCAAGGCAGACCCCGGGGCCCCCGCCAAGAAATGAAGAAGGGAGCGGGGGCGGTGCCGCCAGTAGCCGCCCCCGTCTCCGACATGATAGCTGGCTTGAGGTGGGGTCTCCTCCGACCGCAATTTTGGAGTGCGTCGCCCTGAGGCCTGGCCTCGCCGACGGCAAGAAGCAGCAGGGGATCGGTGTGGCCGTGGTCTTTTTCCCCTTCCTGACGTTCCTCGTGCTCGGCGTCCTGGTACCGGTGCGGGGAGGAAGGCTCGGCTGCACCTCGTGCGCTGGAACGCCGTCCAGTCGGCGGCGCAGGAGGCGGCCGACGGCCTAAACTTGCCCTTCGGGTGCGACCCGCAGGAGTTGTCGGCGCCGACGCAGCGTGGCGGGACTGAGGCCGCGGGCGGCTGCAGTCCTTTGCATGGTGCAATTCACCAGCACCTGTTCTCCACCATCGCTTCGGGCATGCCCGATCATGTTCAAACTGACCGCGCCTCTTTTCGTGAGCTGGCTGGTGCGAATGCGGATTACGAGATGCTTGCATGCGCGGTCGAGCCTTGCGACCCGACGAAGGTGTCCTTGCCAGAGGGGCAGGTGTCGCCCGTCGTCTTGACTGAATTTGTCTATCCCGGGCTCGGCCGCAGCCGCGACCTTGACAACATCTTGGCCGATGCTGACGTGGCCGAGCACCGTCTTCGCCACGAGCCCGTCGGGTCCTATACGGATGTCAGAATCAGAGGTGATGAAGATGCTCGTCTCAAGTTCTTCAAGAGCCTGTATGATTGTGGGATCTTGCGGTTCTGCATAGCCTCGAAGGGCAAGATTGCACCCTTCGTCGTGAAAAAGGAACTGGGCCGCCATATGCTCGTCCTGGACTGCCGAAGGGTCAACCAGTTGTTCCGTCACCCCCCTAAGCCTGATATGAGTTCTGCCGAGAACATGCGTGGGCTCGAGGCGCCAGACGAAGCGTCGCCTGTCTTCGTCGCCACGGGTGATATACATAATTGTTTTTTTTTACCAGTGTGGGGTGCCGTCTCGACTTCGTGAGCTCATCGGGGCGTTCGAGGGGAAGGGCTTCGTGCTTCGCGAGATCTCCTGGGCCTCAACATCTTCGGATATCCTGGGTGCCGCCTTCGACGGGTTGCGACGGGCGGTCCGTGCGAGGCCCAAACGGGCCTGGGCTCTTCGGGGAGCTCTTCGACATGCCGCTCGGGGTGGGCCCATCTCCGGCAGGGCTCTGGAGCGCCTCCTGGGCCACTACGTCGTCGAGGGCTTCGACCAGCGGCCCGCGCTGTCGGTCCTGCGGGCCTCCTACGTCTTCATTCGGGACTGCTACTAGACCCCGAGGCCCCCGTGGGGCTCCGTCTGCCGTGAGCTCCTGGTCT